TTCCAAAAATATGCACCAAACGGGGGCTTAGTGTCATCATGGCCACCCAATTTTATATAATGTTTCACCATGGTCACTCAATTTCATATAACATTTCACCATAACCATTCAACTTCTTTTCATCATTTTCATTAATTTTAAAAATGGTGAAACTGTAACTTTGTATTATATATAATTAAATTTTTAAAAAAAGTTTTTTAAAAATTTTAAAAACGTTTATTTTAAAATAGGTTTCTATTTTGTTTTTCTAACATTTTTTTAAAATAAGTTTTTTTTTTATGGAACGTTTTTTAAATAAATTTTTGTTCTATTTTATATTTCTAAGTAACTGTTTTTTAAAAATAAATTTTTTTATTAAAATAACTTTTTGTTTTAATTTTTTTCTATATATAATGCAAAGTTACCGTTGTATCCCTTTTAAAATTAATAAAAATAAAAAGTTATATGAAATTAGGTGATCATAATAAAACATTATATGAAATTAGGTGGCTATCGTGAAATAAAATCAAATTAGACGACATTGTGACGTTAAGTATAAAATTGGATATCCATGGTGAAACAAAATCAAATTGGGCTATGATGACACTAAATATAAAATTAGGTGATTGTTGATGGATTTAACCCGTTTTATTTTAAGTGGTATTTAACCTTTTGCATTGAACTCAACCTTTCCTATTTATGTGGAAGCCATTAATATTTGTTTATATACATTTGATGATTCACAGCATCGGTTCTGAGCCATTAATTTAAGGCATTATCAAATAAATAGTAAAGAAAAAGAAAAAAAAATGAATAAAAAATCAATGCAGCGTAGATTTAGAGCACGTGAATAATTATCTTATCTTCATATGTTCCTCCGTGTACATGCAAATTTTTTTTTTTTATTCACGTCATAGTAACTACACGTGCCTAATTTAATTATGGCTTTAATCGAATTATCTAAAAATTTAAACTGTTAAATGAAGCATAAATTTATTTATTTAAATTATCTTCATCCCCAAATAAATGTATCACGGTGGCATAAATAAAACACGTGTAATATAAATGAATGGAATGTGCACTTTTAAGGTCAAACAATTAAATAATGTAGCATCAAAACTCAAAAGTAACGCTGTAAGAGATAAGAAGAGTCATTGACAGGCATCACAGACCGCACCCACTTAAAAACCAAAGTGGAAATCCTTAATTAAAACTAGTGTCGTACTCGATCCATCTTACATTAAAATATGACAGAATTAAGGACAATGGACCCCTATATAAGTTTCACCTCCAAGTTCACTAAACAAACTACAAAATCCTTACAGCTAGCTAGTTATATCAATCAATGGCTGGTTTTAAATTCTGGTTCTGCTTAATTTTGATTGCACTTTCGTTCTCGTCTACTCGTGCTCGTGCCAGTGTTCACGATCCTCATGCGGATATGGACAGTGCATTGATCCGAAGTGCAAAAGAAATGTTCAAAGCAAGCTTAAAGAGACAGGAGGAATATCATTATGATATTAATAGGGTTAGTCCTGGAGGACCAGATCCTAAACATCATTAATGAGTTGCTTATGATATGTTAGTAATTTGGAAGATGAGACTACGCTCTGTAATCCTTTTTTTTCCTTTCGTGCATTTTTATTAATGCATGCAATGTTGATCAAAGTAACTGCGGTTACTATGTACCATTCGTGATAATAAGCGATCAACTTTTCGACTTAATTCATTTTTCTGTTTTAAATTTGTGAAATTTGTTTGGTCGAATGGGGGTTGGAACTAGGAAAGCAATTCAAGTTTAATCTCAGCCGGATTTGATTTCACCGATTACATACTTTGCACATTTGAAAAATTGGCCAAATAAGTTTTTGAATATTTGCTGATGTATCTCTTGAGGTTGAGCGTAACTTTGAAGCTTTACACAAACGACCGTTCTGTATTTCAAGAGACGCATGTATTGGATAATAGGAATTTAACTCTATGTGTGTTCAATATCTATGTATTAGAATTACTAGTACAAAGCAACAGAAAAACGTCACTACAACAAAAAAGGGATACGACAACGTTCAAAAAACGTTGCCAAACACCTTTTGCAACGTTTGGCGAATGTTGTAAATCTCAGTATTTTTTTTAAACGCTGCAAAAACCTTTTTTGCAGCGTTTTTTAAACGTTGCAAAAAAACACTTTTTGCAACGTTGCCGTAAGTAAATTTTTTTTTATAGCAATTTATGCAAATTGATTGATAAAATTGAAAATGACTCCTTATGAACAAATTTTG